GCAGGCACTTTGTGGGTGTAGGTCAACTTGACCACACTTGCAAAGTTGACCCTGTTGCAAGGTTGACATTAGTGAAGTTAAAAGGAGCTCTTGAGGGACTCAAACCCACTTTCTTGGATTAAACAAACCTGCCTATTTCAGTCTACCATGTTAGGATATAATTTAAAACTTTGAAACCAGAGAAGCAAAATCATCCCTTTTGTTCTATTTCTTGTGCTTATTTCTGTTCTCATATATTGGATTTGGACATCTGATACAGCTGAAAATGCATTTCTCTTTCCAAATGAATTAATGTTGCTGTTTTGAGTTTATTTCCACTATTTCCCTTGTCTATAGATATTTCCTTTTATTTCTATTATGTAATCACTGAAATATTTTTTTTATTTAAAGTTGTACGTGCTGATCTAACTCATATATCTTAATCCAATAAAATCCTTTATCCTTTGCAGAGAGGAAGTTGCAAAGATATATGCATTAGGACAGTCCACTTCAACAGTTTTCTGTCTCTTCAAATGTAATAAGATATGACTTGAAGTATTCTACCCAATCTCAACAGTCAGTATCAAGGGAAAGGCTTGCAGCACCGCAGTGTGATCACGGTGCATGCCAACTCCACAGCCCAAAGGAAGAGATGATCCAGCAATGATTAAGACTTTTTCCTTGATTATTGTGCAGAAAGTATGCTCAGTGACAACTACGTTGTAGTCAAATTCCAGAATGGGCATCCCACCAAGGTGAAAAATCTACTCCAAATGGACAGCTACGAGTATTTCAGGCATAAAAACTGACTTTCCCCCCCCCCTTAGACTAACACATCATTATTACTAGAAAGTAGTTCTTGAAAATATGAGGAGTTCAAAATGTGCTACTGAGGCTCTCTCTTGGTCTTCATGGTGATGTGACAAAATGAACAACTAAAAGAAAAAAAGGGGTTACTGCTATTTTTGAGCCACTGTTCTTGTAATGCCTTGATGCTTTCACGAGAAGGAAGGTGCCTCTTTCCTCTCCTCTATGTTTAGGAAGTATGCCTTTAAAACAGTTTATGTGCTAAGTAGACAAAGATAGGAGGATGAAAACTGTTGCCATGTCCATTTTTCAGAGGCACGTTGGAGGAAAGAGGTAGAAAGGGTAAATGAAGCACAAAAATAGTTGAGATGTAACAGTTTGGCTCAAATTAAGGGTTTTGCTGTTTCCCACAAAGAATTGCAGTTGTCCCACCCAAGACACAAATCCGTGGTAGAGCTGGGCTCCCCACACCATCTCCAGGTTCACAGGGGAAGCCCTTACTCCCCAAACCATCCTTTCTTTTATCTTTCTATATGAAGATCAGGAGATCAATGTGATTTAAAAGGGAGAAAAAATTAATAGTACTTTAAAAATATGTACTAGTTAAACTAGTTTTACTAGTGCATAAGTGATTTTATTTCCATTATAAGAAAACAAGAGAACTTCTCTGACTCAGAAATAGGCTACAGCTTCACCAGACTCCAGTTGCTCAAGTAATGCTTTATTCATTTTTTTAATCTGCTTTATCGGAGAGAATTCTTGCTTGGCCTTAATTTACCATTTCACTAATTTCCTTTGGAATATTAAGTTTCACTAATGCCAATTCAAACCAACATTCCTCAGCAAGCAAACAAGCAAAAAACAAATTAATGGGGGAAATACTTTTCATTTTCTTCTGATAAAATTTGATGTAGCTTTTGAAAGTAAATCCTCTAAATAAGAGGGGAAATGTATGGACAGTACTATTTCAGTCATCCTGAAGTCAGTTCTGCCTCTTGGGATATCAGGGGATGGTTTATGTGCAGTGGTGGAATCTTCTTTGCCAAACATTGCCAAAAAGAAAGCAGCAAATTGTAGTTTAAGAGTAGAAAGAACTAGAAAACGTAAGTCTGTAGAGAAAAGAAGGTAAAACAATACAAGTTTATTTATTATGGTTTAAATAATGCTACTCTCATAAGGTTCACTTTACTTTCACATTTGATAATTTTAAAGGAATTAACATGGGAATAAGTTGTGGTATCAGCATGGAAGTTAATTTTTGTGGTTCTTAAGAAAGTCTTATAATAAGTGGTTCTTTCTGAAATGTTCCGAGCAGAAGAGTATGTGCCCTCACAACGTGCTTTTTTGATTATTCTAAACATAAAATATAAACCAGAAATCTAATATCTGTATTTACAGTCAGTCTCATTTAATCTTCCAACACAGTTTTGAAATTATTGATTATAAGGGGAAAAGTACTATGCTGCTTCCTGAGATCCAAAATGAGCTTTTAAGGTCTTGTAGCAGAACCATGCAAATACTTTAGGGGAGACTCTACCACCACTGCAAAAAAAAAAAAAAAAAAGGTAAAGTAAAAGATCTGAGTTCATTTCACAAGTGCATGCAATAAAAAAAAAAAGGGAAAAAAAACACCCACAAACCTAAAAATCCTTTTCTAAATGATATTTATTTTTCTTTCACATTAGAAATGTGCTTAGGGTTTTAAGTGCTTATGTGTTTCCAATCACCATACCACCTGAGCAGTGTGTAATTTTTACTGTTTTTATGCTTATGACTGCCAGTCAGAATAAGAAAAGGTATGGTTTCATCTCTTTCCAGATGGAAAACAAGGAAACGAGCCATTTGTTTGAAAGGAAAATCTATGGTAAAGCAGGAATCTGAACCTGGGTGTCATGCAAAACTGTCCAGCATCCTAACTGGGGACATTATTGTGCTCGATAATAAGAAGTTCCAGCTTTAGGAATTCTCTGAGAGATGTTTTTTTCTTATAACAGTCTGTTTTATTCTGCAGCTGCTTTCTTAACTTTACAACTTCTTAACATCAATTGACTGTCAAATAAGTACGATTGTGAACTCATGAATAAACATAGTTATCATTTACATATTAACAGAGGGCCTTTAGCTGAAAAGAAGCCATTTGTGCTACTCCAGTATCTTAATTATTTACTGTGTTGTATTGTAATTAATTGTATTTTACTCTTTCAAAACCCTATAGTATGTATATCTTAAGGGGTTTGGAACCAATGCACTAATATTAAAGCGGTAATCAACACTGCTTCTAAATATTCATGCCAATAAATGACTCCCATGTGTTTGCTGAATGCCAAGGATAGTCTGAAGCATATATTTGGCATTCTAGTGGGATCTAGTTTCTGCAAAGTTCACATAGATGCAGAATTTCAATATTGTTGCTGTTATGCATGGGGAAAGGGAAAACATGTTTGAATTTGCACAAGCAATGGGGCAGGACACTTAGAGGAATGCAGTGGTATCTCAGTCACAATCTGTGCTTAACAATGTCTGAAGGCACTGGGGAGTTGTCAGCTATTTTTTATTATAACAAAATTACAATTTTGCTTAGTCTACAACAGCCTCCTCATAATTTCACTTTTTAAAAAACATCTACAGTTTTCCAAATCATTTAAAAATCATTGCATTTCATGGGCGGGGTGCTCTGACTGTCACGCAATTGGGGCTCCATCAGGGCACTGCTGTAACAATCACCAATTCAGACACATTTCTCAATAAATCAATTAAATACTATAACCCTAAAATTATCTGACTTCACTACCACAATTGGCTGACATAAATCTTCAGAAAAGCATATTGAGTGTACAGAGGAACAGCTGATTTATTGAGCTACTGTTGGAATTTCAAAACAAGGAAATGCTGTCTCACAATCCAGTGAGTTTGTTTAATGAAATGTAAGTTAAGTGTAAACAGTCTTAAAGTATATGTGAGTTCAGTCTTTTGGATTAAGGATAACTAGCATATTGTAAACTGTGCTTTCTTGTTTGAAGTACAGTTTCAAGAGCCTGTATAGGTGCACTGTCCCTTTTTGCAAACAAGTGTTTTAGCCTCTACTCCCTCCTGCCTCCAAGGGCAAATGACTCACCAGACCTTTCTGATGCTCTTTCACGTCTTCCAAAAGAATAGCGGATTTACCTTTGAATGCTTGAGATGAAAAAGAACTTGTTTTATAATCAGGGGAATGGCAATATGAAGATTGCACACAGTCACAATGGTGCTGAAAATGCAATCCAGGTGACCTGATCCCTGCTCCCTGCTGGAGCACAACTAGGATTTCCATGTGTTCTGCCATTGATGTAATGTTTAGAAAATTCTCTTACTTGTATATGTACAAATATTTTATCTATTGTTTTCACAGATATGTGATAATACCGTTGACCAGATTTCTAATTGTTACAACACCATTTTTTTTTTTTTGCAAGCTAAATCTTAATTATCCCTTATGAAAAGTTGAAAATACATATTAAAATATTTAGCTGTATATAGGGAAAAAATATTTCAGCATGACTGTAATATAGTTTCCATGATGGTCTTAAATCACACGTGCAGTTCTGCATGCAAATATTTAGCATACTCTGCCTTAAGGGAAAAATAATTTCTCTTATAGCCACCATGCTGACTGTGATCACAGCACTACAGGTCTGCTCGTCTGCTCTTAATGCAGAAAGAACTAGGTTTGAACATGGATATCTTAATGAAAATGGTCGTACAAGCCCAAACCTGATTACCTGTACCTCACTTTAAAAATAGTACAAGGTTGAGCATTAATAAGAGATTATATTAGTGTTTAATGCGGTTATGCTATTATATGGAGAGGAAAAAGATAAAATTAAAATCAGGTCTCCTGGACCTGATGTGTATTGCATCACTGGGCTTATCTTCCCGGGCAGGATGCACTCTGATGTGCAAAGCTGCAAGTGATGCAATTCCTTAAGGGTACACCGTGGTGTCTCGAGGACCCGGGTGTGAAATCCCTCAGCCGTGATGCCTCTCGGTGTTTGTTCACACTGAGCGGAGGTCGAAGAGCTGTAACACCACAAACACCTTGTTTTGGAGCTGCTTGCTGCTCCCAAGCAGGGCCTGATCCTGCAACGGCAGACACGTGCCCAGTTCCTTGGCAGAGCCGGGTGCAGGGTGGTGGGCTCAGGGTTTGGACTCAGCCAACTCTGTTTTTTCTTTTTCAGAATCACCCAGCACTGCTGCAGTTTGTAATACAAGCTGAAAATAAACATCTGGTCATCAATCTGGAGAGGAATGAGTAAGTACCATTGTTGCATGTTCGCTTTGTACTGGAGGCTCTCAAAGAAGGGTTATAATTTTAAAATTGATGGTTTAAAAGCAACCTGAGGCCAAGTTTGCTACTGGTCCCTTATGGAACAGGCCCCTAGCAAGAGAGTTTTGTTCCAGTTTGGAGTGTGTGTATTTGCACACTGCTTATAAAGCAAGAATCTCTAAGGTCATCTGCATTTATGTGGGACTGAAAATGGACATCTTGGCTCTCAGTGTTTTCCTGTTGATCATTATTTTTATTTGATTTGGGTTTGTCCTCCTTTCCTGTGGTAAGCCCTTTTATTTACAGTAACGTGGAAAATCCTACAGTCTTTGGAACTTTTTTTGGAGGACTCATCCCTCCTAACATTGCCTGCAGCCATGGTTCCCTCCCTGCAGTGCCTGCTGGCTCAGGGAAGATGAGCCAAGCATTTGGGCTTAACCCTTGCTGGACTTTTAAACGGGGGCTCTCTGGGTTTGCTGGCAAGGGGCTGATGATGAGATGTTTGTGCTGTTCATGAGGCCTGTGACCAAAGCTAAGCTTGTGCCCTCGTTTGTGAGCTGTATATATTATATCTTCTTCCATGTGCTCTTGACAACTCCCACTCATGTCCATAAGCTTTCAGAGAGGGATACCAGGGGCTGCTGAAGAGACAGTTCCATGGGCAGAAACCCAGCAGAGTTTTTAGAAAGCAGTACAGATCCATACAGAAATGAAGTCACTTTTCTGGAAGTACAGGAGAAATGGAACCAAAGTCATCAAAATGTTAATCTACCCTCTCAAGTGTTCAACCGTTTCTCCTCTAAGAGCATCTCAAAAATATATTGTGGGAATCCAGATCAGGACAACTACGTGCTGCTTGTCAAAGGAAAACCAAAGATCACTCTCAACCTAGGGAAAACTTTTATAAAAGTTAGCAAGGACGTGTGTGCTCTGTATGTTTCCCTGCTGTGGAGTAAAAGCAGCAGAGGTATTTTTTTACTGTAATAGAGAGAACATAGACATAAATGGTGCAGCTTTATGTGTTAAGAGGAAGGAATGTGCATGCAGAAGCAAATGTCCGAGGGAGGCCGGGTACATGCTGCCTCGGGCTGGTGATGGACAACTTCAATGGAAAACAACGGGGCACCTCTTTAGTCCTCTGTAGTAAAACAACACATAACTCTTTTTATTTCCAGTCATTTGGATGAACCCTAACATTACCCAGCTGTAATAAAATCCACTTCACTTTATTATTCAACATCATGCCCGAATCTTGAGCTTGCTTTACGTTATTTCTAATGTTCCTTAGTTGTTCATTTCCTATCCTTGAAGAGTAAGTAGATCCCTCATGCATAGGTTGCTTTTTTTCAGTAACTAGAGGAGAATTTAATTCCCTTAGTAAACAGGGATTTAACTTTATATTCTCTTAATCTTTGTCAAAGGGTGTGCCTTCCTTCAGGAATGGGAAGTATGCAGCAATTGAGGAAACTATTTACATTCCATGTCAGCGATTAAAAGAACATAAAACTGCTAATACAGGCCTTGCTGAACATACCAAACTCTTTTGTACCTGTAAGAAAGTCAGATTTAGAAAACTGTAAGATGCGGTCTCCACCTCTTTTACAAGCAGGACATGAAAGTACGGTAAATTAACTCTATGAACATCTGTCTGACTAACCAGATTTGGAGATGTTGAGATCTCCTTAGGAAATATAGTATTTATCAATGATTATAATTTAGTTTACCTATCCCTATAGTGGGGTGTCCACCAGAAGATTTGCATTCTAAAAGAGTTGTATATGGTGTTAACAACATGCAGTTCCTCCTCTTAGCAGGAGGTTCTAGATAGGATTGAAAAATTATAATTAGCCTTACCTGTGTTTGGCATTTATAGTATATGAGGCAGCTCAAAGGTCCCAAACCACAGAAAGAGTCGATCATGGTTTTGCAAAATCATTTCTCCCTTTTCTCAGCATTACTGACTTTGATTTTCAGAAGAAATAGCAGTCTGAGTGATGTAAGTCCGTGCAGAAGTTGCTTTGGTAGGGGTGTGTGTGTAGGTTTGTTACCTGTTTCTGTAAATAACACAGGGCATCAGTCTGCACGGCTGGTCTGTGCTCCCCAGGGCAAACACAGGGCCTCTGTGCTTGTCTGTGGAAATTGGTGGTTGCATTTCTTCCTCCTGTAATGGCAGTAACGGGCGTGTTGTCACTGGCATGGAGAGGCAAGTGGCAGCAGGGGAGGTGAGGTGTTTGGGACATGGAGCAAGCAGCATGGACATGCTGCTGCTTTCAGGGCGTCCTGCAGATTCATGGAGTGAAAAATAATCTCCAGGAGATAAATGAGAAAATGTATTTCTGCAGAGCAGAGGATGGGGAATAACAGCTGGTGGCAGTGGGACAGATTGGACCTAAAGTAGATTATGGATTCCAGAGGTGTGAGGAGGTCATCACATATCTGGAGAAGGGAGCAGTATTTCCACACTGCAGCTCCTGCCCATGAGTCTCCAAGGCTGCAGAGAGGACCAGCAGTTGTGCATACAGACCCTGTCTCTTCCAGCCTGCTCCATCTTCCTGACGTTGGCATGAAACATGCAGCTCCAACACCTTGAAAGCATTAATGGTTAGCATTGGACCAGCCACCAAATCGTCATGCTTTAGGTAGAAGTAGAGTGCTAAACACAAACATCTTTTCTTGAATAATAAGTAACAACACATACGAAGCTCTGATATGTGTGCTGTTATTTTACTGTAGTTTCATGTAAAGCATCTTATTCCTTGGAGAATGGTGGGGGTGGAGGTGCATGGGACCCCTAAATTACATAATTTCTGCATTTGGTCATGCAAAAAAAAAAAAAAAACTGGATGTGATTTTCCATGGTTAGTAGAAACAGCTGCTTTGAGTAGTCTTGACATTAAACTCCATTTATTGAAAACCTTAGAGATTTTCCAAACCTTGAGTTGTATTTCAAAACATGATTCAGATGCATTAGGCAACCCCAAGTGGGGACTGATGTGTTAAACCATCTGTTATCTATGGAAATATTTAACATCAGTTTGATGTTTTCTGATATTCAGACTCAGCAAGATGTGTTCATATGTACTGGGCAAGATGTTATGTTAGTTCTGGAAGAGTTGCTGGTACCTAACTTCACGGCCTAGGGTTTCAAATCTTCTCTATGGTTTCCAGCTGTTAAGATTATTTCTGTACTTAATAATTAAATACTTTACTGATTAATTTTCAGGCATTGCACACTTGTAATTGCAAAACCAAAATTATTTGCCATGAATTCAATGTCAGTCATAGAAAACCTTCTAGCAAGCTTATGTTGCAAGTACATTTCTTACTATGATTTAGTTGCAGAATATGACTGCACTCTTGAGAACCTTAAGCTCTGTAGTACCTTAGATGTTTTGGAAACACTTGTCATATGGAGAGATTTCTAGAATCAGCAAAACATCGATCAGCTGCAAAATAAACCACTCTTCAGAGCAGCTGACTGTTCTGGTGTGCATTACATCAATAATACTGATGCACTTCTGTTGTGCAAGGAACAGTAATGTATGCACATACAAATTCCTTTAAGGTTGATTGCAACATGTGGGTCTTAGAGGAAAGTAGGCTTACTATTGTGTAAATGAAACAAAACCCCTGTAAGATTAAATCTGAGCTGGAGAGTGGAACGGTATGTGACTACTGGCTGTTTTTCTGCAACTGGAAACATTTTACACTCTGTCAGAAATAGGTCTGTATACAGCAAAGTACTTAAGTGTTCTTTTAACTTTAAACATATGAGTAATCCAGGTAAAGTCGGTAGAATTACTTATTTTCAAAATTAATTTCATGCTTAAATGATTTGCTGACAAAGGTCATAATTATGAATGTCAAAGAAATATAACTTTGAACAGATGTTAGAGAGATTTTTCAGTGCTGACTCCTGTATATACCTGAGTCTATGGCAGATAAAGATAAAAAGCTGAGATAAGTCAAGAGGATGTGAGGGCAAGTATGGAGGTAGGATGGTTTTGTTCTGAGGATATCGGCAGCATCTCAGGGGCGTCCTGGGCAGTTTCATTCTGGTGGGACTTCATTGCCCAGCATTGCAGAGGGGGCAGCGAGGGTGCGATTGTGGCTGATGGGTTGTTGGCAGTGTCCAGGGGAATGTGGAAATGGAAAGAAAAATCTCAAGTGTTTTAGAGAAGCGGAGTTCGCTTTTCATTTCCCTGTAACTGTATGTTCTTTTTCATCAGGTTTACAACACAACCTTTAACAAAGTAATATAAAAAAGGGAATATATGAGGTTAGATCGCTGCCTTTTATTCCCTCAGTAAAAATACTTCTTTTTTATCAGGAGGCAAAATCCACCCCAGGCCATGGTATAAGACTCCGTCTTATCCTTTAAATCCCCTAGGATCCCAGCGATCTCCAGGAGTTTAGAGCATCTCTGATTGTTCCCCTCACATGTTTACCACTTCTACATGGAGACACAGTATCAGGAATGTATTGGGATGTAATGGCCCAGTGTTGGAGGTCACTTTAGAAGCTCAGTTCCAGAACAGAGGAGGTGTCAGCAGTACTCCCTCAGTCTGAAAAGCAGACAGTGGGCATCTTCGTGCATAGTGCTAATGTGACCTGTTCCAATTAGGCCTTAACGTTCAGAAATCCTTTGTATTATTTTTTGGTTAAAAGAAAAGAATTAGTTCTCTCTACTTTTCTGCCCGACCTTTCTGAATAGGAGCACTGATTGATGTTCAAGTGATATTCTAGCTGGATTAATTTAGCAGGGAAACAACCCATTTCCAGTGCCAAAAAAAAATAGCTGACAAAACTTGTTCATGAATTGATGTGCTTATATACAATCAGTGGCCTGAAATACAGATAGAGGAATCAAATCTAAACAAACAAATACCAAACAGAGACACAGGACCTCTCAGAATATACTTGCTATTATAATTCTGTGCCAAAAAATTCTTCGCCAAAAAACTGTGACCCCTGACTGTTTTATC